TAATCGAAATTGATAATCGGATTATTCTGCAACAAAATCAAAATTTTAATCGATTGAAATCAATGTTACCAATCAACCTCAATCGAATCGATTGAGGTTGATTGGTAACATTGATTTCAATCGATTAAAATTTTGATTTTGTTGCAGAATAATCCGATTATCAATTTCGATTGCGCCCATAGGATTTTGGAATTTTAATCGATTTTAATCCCTAAAATTTTTCACTGGGTAGTTGCTTTAAATTAACTAACGAATATACATCAACGGTTAGCATCTAACAACGAATAGATATTTTATGTCGATTTATTTGTAGATTATTTCAACTAGGACTCTGTGCTAATATTAGTAATTCTATGCGAGAATTACTTTACAAATAGTCATCTTTAATAATAATATTTGAACCTTTGCTTCACTTTATGAAACACTCACTCCTACATCTTTGCATTGTTCTAAATTTCAGACTTCATCCATTAGATTCTACAAGAGCTTTTCTTATAGAACGACATGATTCATACGAATATATTTTAGCATGAGGGATATTAAACTGTAACTTTTATGAGTGAAAGACCATCATCGTGGTGAATACATGATGTTGTTGAAAGATCTATATTAAGTAAAAATAAATAGCATATGTTTATTTGAGTAGATAATATACTGAATGAAACGTTTCTCATTTATTTCCTACTCTCATTCATAACTTCTATATCAAATGATCCATTGACTTTGATTTACTTCCGTGAGCTTCTTATACTTTGATATCAGTGTATATTTATGAGATAATTCATTGTTATTTTCGTTTATATCAGTTTAACGTTCCTAAATTTCGTTCTAAGTCAACTTGACTATAAAAATTCGAAATGAATTTAGACTTACTGCTTTGACAGTGTCTTTTTGATGATTCCTACATATTCTCATAATAAATTAGAAAACTTCTGTTGAATGGCATATATAAGTTAGATATGAGATGATGTGAAAAGTGTGTTAGATTTACTTTGCACAAAATAAGCTATACTTACATTGTTCTTCTTCTTTTTGTTTATCACGAATAGCGTCTCGTTTACTCAACCAATTATTTGCAAATTCAATAGCACTATTAATATCACTGTTATCCAGTTGTACAATGAGATCATCAGCACTGATTTCTTGTCTATTGATATCATCAATCGATTGAATTTCTCGAACGAATTCACATACAATATCATGCTTTCGTGAATCAGCGTTTGATTCCATATTACGAATCGAGATAATTCTTTTTGCACATAATATTATTGAACATCGTGGTGGTAAAATAACCATATCGTTATTGTTAATACCAGGATTATATCGTTTATTTAAATGAATAATTTCATTTATAGAAGACCCGTATGTTTCTTTCCACCAATTTTGAATATTTTCAACAACACTACGAAAATCACTTGTTTCTATAATTTGACATAAATCTGTAAAATTTTTTTCAGATTTCTTTTCCGCACTTAATCGATTGGTAAATTCTCTACATTGTGTCACGAAATTAGTCGAACCAAGTATAGGTCTAGCTAATTTGCGAATTCGAACTATAAACTCCATGCATTCATCTATCTGTTTTGTGAGTTCCGAACGTAATTCATCTAAAGAATCTTTTAAATCATTCGGACTACTTGCAGCACTATCATTATTTACAGTATCAAGTAGATCGCTAACGAAACGTTGAACAATGGCTGCATCTTCTTCATGTGTACTTTGGCTTATTGGAGTTGCTTCTGTTGTTGTTGCTGTTGTTGTTGGATTTTCTGATAACATTAATTCGTCTATTTTGGCATATTCATGAGCTTCATTTTGTTCGATGGTTTCCAAATTTTGATCTATTAATTCTATCTGATCATCAATGAATCTTTCAAGACAATAAGCTAAATCAGTATCCATAGTTGTGTTTCCTCTAGAAAATTTTAATTTTGTTTTAGAAATATCAACCAATAAATATTTCTTATGAAGAATAGGAGTTTGAATTTTTTGTGTGAAATTATGGTTGTACTTTTGATATAATCTGTAATAGGATCATGTCAAATGCGATGATTCGATGGAAAAATATATTATAGATGTGCAAGTCATTCTTATAAGTTTTTTATTATAGATCAAATACAAGTTTGGGTCTTTTTTTAAAATAGAAACGATGGTTTTATCATTGAATTTTGAGTTATGGAAGTTCTAAAATTGTATTATTCCAATCGATTGACTTGTCAATAGCTTTTGGTCATAATTAAATCGGTTAAGCTGTTTTGTTGTCATATCGACTACTTTATATAAGTGATAAAAACGAAAGAAAGATGATGAAAAATTGGCCGGTTAGCTAACATGATTTAGCCGATAGAAATTCGTTTAATTACTTTAAAGTGATTTGATTCGCGCAAAATAGTATGCATGTAATTTTGAAAGTCTAATCGTTGAATACTCAAATAATGCAGTATCAGTTCACATATAACTATGTTTTGTACAAAAGCTTAAATTGGATATCATTCGTCAACGGCTCATATCAATCTGGATACGATGAACTTTTAACAAAATAACAGAATTCCTGATCAAATATCAAGTTAATTAATTAGAGAAAAATATGTTCTTATAAACCTTGATTGAAATCACATTAATTTATGATATTTTCTACGTTCTACAATTGATATAAACTATTGAAGTTGATCGATATTCTCAGGTACTTGTAATAAATCAACGAAGTCTTTATAAGAAGATCTGAGTAGTGAAATGAAAGAGGAGAAAATTCACCATGATAAATCAATTGAGAGTTGTAATCAATCACGAAAAATAATAAGGAAATCTTTTGGAATATTCTACAGAAAGCCTGTAAAGAGTTCTCACAAACTCCTTAGACACCATCTGGAAAATTCTAAGGATCCTGCAAGGATTTCCTAACGCAACTGTCGAATATGTTTTTCTGTTCTGTTTTCTAAGATTGTTGAAACTCTCAAGAAACATATTATCTTGAATATCTTCGCGCCTTGCTCAATTCTTCTGAAAGTTTTTCCATGAAGTCATCTGGACTGCGTGATTTTACCACGATCAGCTCAGGACTCGTTTAAGTAGAGCTTATTACAATCAGCACGACATCCATGTAGACCAGAGATGGAACCAGTATCGGTCAAGATTTTCGATCGGTCAGTATATGGTTGACCGGTACCATGTGTTTCTTTTCCTGATACTAAGTATTGAATATAAGCAACGAAGTACAATTGTCAAAACACAGAAAACATATAGGCAGCTTGGCAATTTGGCCTGCCTTATATTGAAGGATTCAGCTGTGGTATTTATGTACTTCTGTTAGGTTAAAATATATCAGTAGAAAAATTTCGCCGGTGCAGATGGGTGAAACCGGTCTGACCGACTCAGATCGGTACCAATCATCGAAAACCTATACCGGTTCCATCTCTGATGTAGACCGTGATTATCCATTATTTACTTTTGTATCTAATTGATTAAATTTTGAAAAGAAAGCAGATTAATACTGTTAAAATTTTGTAATGTCTTACAGATAATTTTCGACGAGTGGCACAATTAATCCAAAGATTAGCAAACCCATTATTGAATAGTTTTCAGATGATCACAGGTTTCAGTCGTAGAATATTAGTATGAATGAAGTTGATCACTGCAGATAATTCATAGTTTAACTCTTCTGCAGCAATAAGATCTATCCGTGAGTCTCACTATAAGATAGTTTAATAGATCATTTATCACAAGGATAACGCTCTTCACCTAGTACATCGAAGAATGAAATCTTTCACGCATTATGAATAAACCGTAGTCATATCGCTGCGTATGAGTTAAGCGCTTAGATGTCAATTTTTTGAGTAAAAATTTAAGGTTCTATCGTTGAAAATCCTTTTTTTTCCTAGCAAAAAGGCTGTTTTGGCAGTTTTTAGCGTTAAAAGCATTTGTAGGAATTCCAGATGAATTTTTCAAAATTATTTCATTCTTTAGAAAAGTTTTAACAAACATATGAATCACATTATTTTTTTACATTTTGAGGAGTCATACATATTTTTTTTAATATAGGTACTGCATTTTTATGTCATTTTTTGGAGGTTGAAAAAGAGGATGTTACATCATCTATATAGCAAAGAAGTATTATTCTATTGTGTTGAATGAAAAGCTTTCGAATACCGACAAAATCAGCAAAAAATGTGCCTTTGGTTTTTCGAACTGTATACCCATGTAATCACGAAACGCAAGATCGATGCGTTGAAACGCGGTTTCACAACAAAACGCGTCTAGACGCAGTTAAAAACGGGTTCACAACGCATTCAAATGCATTTTTAATATGAAACGCGTTGAGACGCAGTTAGAAAACTTTTGAAACGCGTCTGAACGCAGTTTTTGTATGCAACGTGTTGAAACGCAATTGTAAAAAAACTATGAACCGCGTCTCAACGCGTTTCATATTGAAATTGCGTTTGTACGTGTTTAATAAGAGTTTGACTGAACGCGTTCAAACGTGGTGTAATATGAGAAGCGTTGAGACGCAGTTAGAAAAAATTTTGAAACGCGTCTGGACGCAGGTTTTCTATACAAGGCGTTTAAACGCAATCAGAAAAAAATGAACCGCGTTTCGACACGTTTCTGAAAAAAATTTAATGCGTTTAAAAAAATTTTGTTTACGAACTGCGTTCAAACGTGTCTTAAATATGTTTTTCGCTCGCGTTAGGACGCAATCATATTTTCGAGTGCCTTTGAAAGTGTTTATTTTTTGTGTATCGGACGCGAGTTTACCCAAAAATTGCTGCTCTAGAAGAGTTAACTGCATAATCAAAATCATCAGCTTACATGTATTTTATTCATCTAAACTTCATTAGACTTCTAATAAAGAATGTCGAGATGACGTTAAAATAGACAAAATTCAATTAAACATAGGGTGAACAGTCCATATTTCTCTAAAGTTTGTAAGAAAAATAGTTAGATAATATTGTAATAGTTTCCAGCTATGCAATGCCCTTTCAGAATATTGTTAAATACTACTATTTAAATAATATTATTAGTAACTTTTCATCATATATTTCTACTAAATTGCTTGTCAATAATTATCTATTCATTAAATTTTTCGAGAAAATTATTTATCATATTACCAGTGCAATAAAAAAGATCGTAATATTTTTTATGTGTAGTAGATGATAAAAAAAAGATGTTATTTTATTAAAAAAATAAAAAACTTATTTAAAAAAATAACTGAAAAGTCATCTTACGTGTTAAGACTCTTGAATTCGAAAAAAGTACATCTTGTTAAAATAAAGTATTTAACCGATGAAATTCGTCTTCAAATATATTTTATTTTGAATAAGACAAGATTTCGAGTTAGTATAACTCAGCGGTATGTATGAACGACTTCTAATCACTGGTTCATCTGTTCAAATCTGATCGTCGTCGCTTAAGGTAAAATCTAATCCATTTGCCAGGGAAGGCTAAGACCATCAAAAAATATTGATGGTGGCAACTCAGTTCGAATCTGAAATGGATTATCATATTTTTTTTCAAAATTTTTAGTTTTTTTATGAAACGCGTCCAGACGCATTAAATGTTTCATCTGGGACGCGTTTTCGCTAAAAATGCGTTTGAACGCAAGTCAAGCTAGAAGCGCATTCACACGCGTTTCTAAAATAAATCGCGTTTAAACGCTTCGTTTGTTTCACTGGGGACGCGTTCAAACGCGTTCACTCTTAGCGTTTCGCACGCAAATGAAACGCGTTTCAGACGCGTTTTGAGGCAAAAAATATTTACATGGGTATCTATGTAAATATCTCACGCATATATATTTAAGAAAGCAAAGCAGTTGTGAATAGCAAGAAGATGATATTCCTTTCTAATAATCTATAAATGGTGGAAAAACAAACAATGAAGATTTTTCGAAGCGATTTTTATGGAAGCGGTTGACTAAGAAAGCGATGCCTTGCAGAAGCAAATGAAAGAAAACGGTACCATAAAAGTCATTGACTCAAAAATCTTAGACAAGAAAACTTTAGATATTCTTGTTTGTTTTGAATACATGGAAACGGAATTAACAGAAATATTAGACTACCTTCGCAGTAGTCATATATTATTTGAAACAAAAACTAGTTTCTTGAAAGAATATCTTACATGTAATGTTAATATTATTACTATCAACATTGAAATTAGTTCTATCTCTGATACTCTTTCTGAAACTGAAGGCAGATTGGTTGCGATTATAAAATAAGGATTTGCAGACGCACATATACTCGACGAGTGAGAGAACAGTCGACGCAGCAGCGAGAAATAAAAAAACTTCACAAGCGTGTGTACGAAAGAATTTTTCAATCGTAGTGTAAGAAACTGAAAAATGAATCTATATGATTGATTGTTTTTTCTCGATAAAAGATTAATATCATTTAACATTTTCAGTTTTGACAGGTTTGGTTTTCGATGTTTTGTTATGTCAAGATTTTCACTTTCTATGTTTTGCCATCTAACTGAAGCAGACGGTGTATAAGGTTGCTACACATTGTTAAAGTCTATAATGCGAAAAAAAGTCGCGAAATTTCGATCATAAAGCTTCCATTCACTGTTTTCTTCAAGAAAATACAAGAGTATCAAGAAATGGACATTTTTTAAAGGAAATTAAGAACAGAAAATTATCATGTTTCACGTTTGAATTCCAGAAGAGCTTTGCCAATGATTTTTTGCTATTAATGTTTGATATTCCTTCAACAATCATATTTAATTATTTTGAAATTTTATTTTTCTTATTTGTACGTCATAGTTCTTTTTGCGCTAGAGATTAACTTTTGATGTTTTGTTATGCTACTATCAGTTTCACAAATATATAAAAATGAAATTTTTTTTAAAATAAAATTTGACTCATAAAGTTTGTTTTAGACAACAACTGTGATTAAGTAGATTCTGAAGACTTCGTTTGACAAGATATGGTGATGTACCTTACTTAAACTAGTTTTTCTAGAATAAATTTTAAAAGCAGTACTTACAGGATGAAAAAGGAAATCTGAATTTAGATATAAAAAATTTCATCATAAAAGAATGTGTATTGAAACAAAGACATTCAGAAATAGGTAACCGTCATTTTCACGATGATTGATTCTTTAAATATTCTATACTACTTCCTAGACAAACAACAAAACATAAAAAGACACGCTCCCTACAATAAGAAAATAAAAAACTTGAAAGAATGAAATTTTTCACAAATATTTTTTCTTTTGTTCTTCGCTTCACTACCAAAAAAATTCAAATCGAAAACAAATCAACCTATTTTCTAATGAAAAGACAGATCAATTTTCTACTCTTAGGGATGCAACAAAGCTGAAGATTTGGCTTTATCACGAAAGATTTGAAATCGAATTGAGAAACGAATCAGTTTTCGACTTGGGTTCGATTTATACAAATACTCTTTGGATTTGGATTTGGGTTTGATATAGAGAGTTCGGATTCACATTTGAGTTGCATATGGAAATTCCACGTTTGAGTTCGAATTTAATGTTTAGGATTTGGTTCGGATTCGGATCTGATTTCAAATGATCTAAGCCGTTTGGGTTTTGTAGTATGAACTACCGCCAACAATATATTACAACTCACACTATATTACTTTCTCTTTATAAGTGCAGACTCTAAAGCAGACTAAAAACATGAATAGTTGGGTGTGAGTGTGGGTGGGCGGGGGATGCGGGTGTGGATGTTGATGTCGATGAGTGTGTAATTCTTCTCTCTCGCAGCAACCACATCTGCAGTCACTCACACCCACACCCACGCTGTCATTTTTCGTGTTTGAGAAAAACTGTTATATCAGACAGTTATTTTTGTCGACGTCGCACTTTACACAACGTGAGATGGTCTTAAATGAAAAATACAATTATCATAAAATAAATCAATTATTATTTAAAGATTGAAATTGATCAACGTTCAGTTAAGAGAATTTTTTCCTTCATCAATTGAATAATTGAAAAACGAAAAAAAGGCTAGTACATCAATCACATCAGTGAAAAATGAAAACATTCAAGAGAAGATAATAACAATAATGATATATTAAGAGATAACCTGAACAATAGTTCTTTGGAAGATGTCAACCACAAAGTAAGTAATAGTTGTGATAATTGAATTACAATTTAATAAATAAACAATGAAATTGTCTAATTTTTATTGATACGTATTAATTATTATTTTTCTTTTAACTAATAAGCGATGCAAAATTCTTTGAAAGAATGTCGAAATTTATTTCTCAACAATATAACATCGAATTGATCTCGATATTTTTTTTGATTGAAAGAGCAAAATGTGGAGAATATTGACATAACAAGAACGATTGTCGAGTATGCCCCTTTTAAATATCTTTTTCGTTTCCGAAGGTCTCGATTAGAAACACCAATGTTGTTTTAGAAAATTGAACACGTGTTTTTTGTTTCTCTTTATGTTAACGAACGACATTGTTGAGTAATCACAGCATAAATTCATAAAATGTCTATACGAAAGGAAAAGAAGACTGACAAAATGAAAGCATAGTTAAGGCAATGAGTGATTAATCTTTATCAACTGGGTAAAAAACCGGTGAGAAAACGATAAGGACGAGGGTGTGGGTGGGTGTGGTGTGTAGGTATGGGTGTGGGTGTTGGGGTGGAGTGTGGGATGTGGGTGCGGGTACGGATGAAATCAATACTCATACTCACACCCACACCCACACCCTGGGAGGGTCTTAAAATTAGGATAAAAAATGGTAGTCCAGCAACAGTAAATTCCACTTTTCTCAACTCAGGAGTCAACTTTCAAAAATCCGTTCAGACAAAAGTTTACTTTGATCGAGACCTTTTAAAAAAAATATTGGCAATAGCTCAAAAAATGAGGGAGGAGATCCAATTTTTCTGATTGGAAATCATATTTTGAGAAAAACCTTAAAGAAGTTTTAGAAGTGGTTTTTTACGGTCAAATTCAAAAAATTCGTATTAACATGGCATATTTTCAATAAATTTTCTAAAACTATTTTAAGGCGCGTAAAAGATGCAGTAAAACTAAGGCTATTTGACATGCGGGTTAATATTAAAATATTTTATTCAATGATATTTGAAGTAGTAACGGGGTCTTTCCAAAACTGAAAAACTCTAAAAAAACTACGAAAATTTCTGGGAAAATATGATAGCAAAGTTAAAGTCTGATCTGACAAATCTTTGAAAAACCGATCATTTTTCAAAAATCTATATATATTCTGAAAGAGGAAGCTTCTCTCTATCTTGCTGTGGCAAAAACTCAATTTCGATATTGTTTCGAAAAAATCGATTTTCTGAAAGGGGAGGGGGCCTTAACAATAGACATTGTATTGATTAATGATTAAAAATCAGGGCAATGATCAGAATATCTGAATATAAAGAAATCAAGAATTATACTAAAAAAACCAGAACATAGTAAATTGCTGTGGGTGATACAGCTGCATAAAAATTCGTTTTGAAGCTAATTAAGTATTGACGTACTAGTTGAAGTTTACATTTCTCTTATACACCATATTAAAAGTGGTGTAGTGAAAATACCCAGGGGGAAACAACTGAAACTTCACTTTTGAAGTCCGATGAAGTCTCAAAAGTCTCTTAAAATCTGATAAAATCTCTTGAAGTCTCCTGAAATCTTATGAAGTAGCATGAAGTCCCAGAAGTCTCATGAAGTATCAGAAGTCTCTTGAAGTCTCTGCTGTTGAAGTCACTTGACGTCACTTGAACTCTTTTGAAGTCTTGAAATCTGAAGTCCATTGTTTTCCCCTCGCCCACACCCTATATATGTTTTTTTTCTTTCCTTCTCTTCTCTCGAGATGGTATAGATGTTTTTCATCTCATCATGTTTTCTTCCAAGTGTCGTTATATTTTCTTCTATTTGGATCATATATATATGGTGTTGTCGTCTAAAAAATAAAAGAGAGTAAAATATTTATTATTGATAGAAAAGATCAAACCTTCCCGTTAACATGTAGTTTAAGCGTGTGATTTTATGCTATTCATGCACATCTAGATCAATTTTTTTTACTTTATGAGCCCTCTATTTTATTCTAAAAAAATATTCTCAATCACTTTATTGACGTGAATAGTTTGTATGTTGCAAGTTACACATTTTATTTTCATGAATTGGCCTTGTAAAGAACCTAAAGAATGAGAAAAAAGAAAAAAAATTGGAAAAAAATTGGAAAAAGAAAAAAAATTGGAAAAAAATTGGAAAAAAGAAAAAAAGGAGCACTCAAGTAACGTAGGAAACGTACAATCCAGTTGTTATTTTTTTCTTTTTGCTCGCGTCACAGGCTTCAAAATAAACATATACCAGAAGAAATATGAATGACGTAGTTGCCACTCAGAACTGTCATCATCATTGTTGTCGAGTTGCTACCGTTTAAGATTTCATCAACACATTTTATATTGAAAATGGGTTGTGGTGTACTGTGCACGCCGTATACGCAACAAGATATTGATGCTGAAATCGCCGCTTTTACACCTCGTTTACCTGTAGCCGTACTTATGAATGGTGGTATTATCAAGCTTGAAGGTGCAAATGGATTTTTCAATCCGAATTCTCTTCTCGATCCGAGTTGGCTAAAAGGTAAAATGACACCGCAACAATATTACGAAGCGATCGATTATATTAATAAATGCACCGGTTACACTCATATTGGTCTGTCTAGGAGTTTTCCGGTACATGAACGACAGATGCGTCAACAATTAAGAGTTCAAGCAGGGATGGCTGCAGTAGAAAAGATCAATGAAAATAATCCATCAGTTCATTTTACTTATCAACAAACAGCCGAAAGCAAAGAAATGGATACAAGCTGGAGTACAGATCCAGCTATGCGCTATGGGCATCAACGTCGTGCTCGCATTGGTCATTCCACAGTGACAGAACTTTATATTACTGTCAATTGATTTATATTTGATTTGGTTTTTTTTTAAGAAGCATCATGAATAGATTCGAAAGAATTATAAGTCCGGTATGAAAAAAAAGCATGTGATCAACAGATGCATCATATCAAACATTTTTGTTTTTTGTTTTTTACTCTATCATATGGAATCTATCAGCACATTTGCGAATAAATTTGACAAATAATTTTGAGAATAAATCATTGAAGATCCAGCTATTTTTCCAGTTAAACCCGACAGTACGAAAATTTAGATTTGGTGGTTTTGTATGTACTTCTGCATGGTGATGACAAAAGAAACCAGCGTGCCTGCCCTATTCGCTATTCGGCGGTGAAACAGACCCATTACGGAGAATACACTTGACATTTCACACTACGTTTGCAGTATTTTTTGTAATCTATAATAGTGGCAAGTTGGTGTGGATATACATATCTGCCTAGATCGTAATCTTCTCTTCATTCAACGCTCACACTTTGATAAATTCAGTAGAATATTTGCATAGTTATCATTTTCAGTCGATATGAGACAAGGAAATCGCTGATTAAATTCTCTACGACGCTGAGAGCATTTTAATAAAGATCAAAAGTGTTTTTATTAGCTTAAAATTTCGATGTTTTCCTGGCGACCTACCTACAACACAACAGATTCTTTGACAATAGGAAAATATAGAGTTTCTTGTTAATTGAGCAAGCTATCATTTTATTTAACTTCTCCCCGTTAGACTGTGTCAACTAAACAATCTCAGCCGATGAAGCTTTAAAGAGTCAGCCAGTGATATTATTTAAACAGCGTACAAGCTTGGGATGGTTATGGTGCGCTATTACTGATCTCTTTCGGTATTAGATTTTTTATTTCATGAATAGATGTCAAATAGGCATTCGTCGATAGCGTTGCAGAATGTATTTCCTTGGTTTCCGAGCGAAGAGTCGCAACATGACCGAACTCTTGGCACGACACAGCTTGTATAATTCTGTTAATTTTCGTCCATCCATCTGCTGACATACAGGCACAATTTGATTCAGTTGCTTATCAAGTAGAAAATTATGAACGTCAGCTGAAGTCCATTGAAGCATATCATTTGGATATGAATGTGTGATGCGTTCATCTCTAAAACGATAATTGCAGAATTCAATTACCTCTAATTTCGCATGAGTAACAAGAACAGTTTAAGCTTATTCAAATTCTGCGTTTTGTGGCAGTTATAACTAAAATTCCGTTTTTCCTTAAGTTACATTTATAAATAATAGCAACATACTGTAAGTCAGAGATCATTATTGGTTTTCGTAGATATCAAATTAAATTTCTTTCATTTAGTCGAAAATAACTCATATGAAAGCGATTTTCGTTCATGCCAGTAATTTGCTAACTAATTATAGTCGAATTCGTTCAAAACACTGAAAAACAATTATTATCCTTGATTTCATCGTTCTTACCTCACTGCTGGTGCTGGGGTGTGGGTGGATGTGGGGAGAGGGGGGGATATTATTGGCAAAGCACTGTCACCCACACCCCACGCCCCCACTCACACCCTGGGGACATGGATCTAGGTGTGCTCCATATTTCACTCACATCCTCGTACTATATTCTCAAGTTTTCCGATCGGAAGTAGTATGTATTCTTCGTCTGAGTATTTTAGGCTGATTTTCAAGTGTCATTTTTTTTCTTTAAAAATATATTTCCAATTCTAATGATAATAGAGGAGAAATTTTACGAGTAGTAAGAAACAATCTGTTCTATATCATTCTGTTATTAGTGAAAGAAAGTTCAAAGTAACTTTATTTCGTAGTAGTCAAGCAAAGATATCATATGCAATTAAATTCAAGAAGTTATATAGAATTTATAAAAAATATTCATTCAAACAAGGTAAAAAGATGCAGAACTTTTATTAAAAAAAAAAAACTTCCTTCTGTTTTCGAGTCAACATCAGCTACAACTAGTTCATTATTCATATGTCATTTAAAGAAAGCATGCTAAAAATCAATGTCAATGTAATTAACTGCTGTCTGCACGTAGTCGATGATCCATAATTAATAATAAGAGAAAATGAAGAGCATCAGGTACCTTATTCGAATAGATTTCCAAATCATATTTAATAGGTTGTTCGGAGCCTCGTTGAGAACGAGCTCGAAATTTAGCTAATAATTCATTTTTCTTTTTAAGATAAATTTTTCCTTTTGGCGTCTTATTTTTTCGATTTCCAATCACTTGTTCATTATTATACTCAGTAGTATAATCAACAGAAAACCAATGAACAGTTCTTCGTAAAGTTCCATCCATCCATTTATTTAATTTGGAATCATAAATAGAATATGTAACATTAAATGGATCAAACATCCATAGACCTTCAAGATTAGCAGTCATTTTATTGTGAGAATAATCAAAAAGTATAACAGTATCGATGTCACTTCTGGATGCTGTTAAACGATATAAGTTTTGTTTTTCTTTTGAATCAAATATTGTATATCCATTTATTTCAAGTCGACTACTTCGTGCATTTTCTACCAGTACATAAGCACGTTCTATTTTTCCGGATTCAATATATTTATTCAGAAGAATAAATAATAATAAATAATTAATACTCTTCATGATGACCATAGATTAAATGTCGATGTATCTTTGCTTCTACTATCTTATATCAACCTTTAAGAAATCGAATTGTCAACAGTTATTACATGGCTATATCAACACTTAAATGTTGCATTATTCAATTTATCATAAAAACAAAGCATTTATCATGTCTTATCTATAGATTTTCTTAATTAGAAAAAAGAAAACTATCAGTATTCATCCAGGAGAAATATGTGTTTTTCGAGCTCCATAAATACCATAGCTAGAAAATACAAGAAGATTCAAGTTTATAATTGCAATAGTATTGATTGTTCGATTTTTATGTTGAAAAACATGTTGAATATAGACAATAACAAGAAAATCTTACTTTAATAAAGTGCTTTTTACTTAAAATTGATAATCCAAAATAGAACGACAAAGGAAAATATTGATGGACAAGAAAAGTTATTGATGTTACCAACATGGTTTAGTACTTATTTTAAACACTACGTTCTCTATATAAAAAAAAATTAAACTTATCACGAATAAGACATTTGATATCATGAATAGACACATTTTAAAAAGAGATATGTCAAGACAAGTATATAATATCAATATTACCTTGAAACAGATTTTTTTTATTCTATAAAATATGTATTAATACACATAAACAAACTCTTATGAAAAGAGTTGCGTGTACACGTATTTCAACCATTACAGTAGAATATCTTAATCATGTTTCATTCTCTCTAGATTTCGATAAATAAATTACATGTAATTTTGCAAAGCTACATTTTATTTTCTTGGAAAACAATTTTACTTTTATAGTACAATCCTGTCATAAAACAAAGATATCATTAATTGGCCGAAAAAAACTGAAAATATTTTTGTGTGTATCAACAATTCGGCTTACTACTTTCATCCGTTTTTTCTTTGAAAAAATATCTATATGTTTGCCTGAATCGTACTATGTACAATTTCAAGCGCAATTTCTTTTCAAATAGAGAGATGATAAAGTAAAAATTGAAAATTCAAACCAGATCTTGATCAGACTTGGTTTTATTCCCTTAATCAAGAATGATTTATTTTGAAAACTATTGAAAATTTTCATAATAATGCACTCAACGAAAAGCAAAAATTGATAGAAGTTTTATTAATTATTCAGTCATGTGTATTTTTTAAATAAAGTATTGAAGAATTAATATCAATATAATTAGTTTTCACCAGCAAAACCTCGATGATCTATAATTAACACTAAGAAAAAATAAACAGCATCAGGTACTTTAGTTGAATAAATGTTTAAATCATATTTGACCGGCCTCCAAGACAGCCATCGAGTACGATATCGAAATTGAGCCAATAATTCATTTTGCTGTTGTGTATAAACTTTTATGTTTTTCGAAAAACGGCTCGATTTTGCACTTAATCGTTGATTATTAAAATGAATTGTATAATCTTCATAGGTATGAGTATTTCTTTGTATAAATCCATCTGTCCATTTGCCTAACTTCGAATCATAGACAGAAAACGAAACGTTAACTAATTTTTCTATCCATATACCTTTAAGATTAGCTACGATATTCTTTCTATAATTATCAATCAGTATAGCAGTATCCACTTCAGTTGAAGAAATTCTTATTCGATATAAATGTCTTTTTTCTTCTGAATCAAATATTGAAAATCCATACATTGGTTTTCCCGAAGCTGTTGCATTGCGTACAATTACATACGTATGATGAGATTTTCTCGCTTCAATACATTTAATTAGAAAAATAAATAATAATAAACAACAAATAACCTTCATGATTATGATACACTAAATGAAGATACGCTTTTTTATATCTCATATTGTATCAAATTTCTAAATGTTCGATTGTCATCAATTATTACATTACTGTCAACACTTATAACTTCAATTACTCAATATATCATAAACATAGAAGAGAAACGACAATCTGTACGATTTTATCTTCATTTTGTCATTCATAGAGAGAGTTTTCTTGCAATTTATCGACGACAAACACATAATGTTTTGGAGAAAACATAGATAAGATAAAGACCTACTGAAAAACAATAAGTACATATTTTATATTATAGTCTGTCTAAAAAGTCTGTGCGCTTGACTGTTTTTTGAATAACTCGAGAACGTAAACAGCTAGAGACCTGTGGTTTTCACCAGTCGAAAGAGGAGGAGTTAGGCCTTCTTTTTTTCTGAATTGGCTGTTTTAGAAGGCTATTTTTTTAATTTCTATTGACTAAATAATTCATATACATAAATTTAATCACTTCTTCAAAGGCAAATTGTTTTCTTTATGAATTGCCGAAGAAAAAATTTTCATTATAATCATGTCACAAATGGGCAAATCAAATCAAAATTTGACTTGATCATTCTTGCATTACATGGAAAGTTTTAAGTTCTATGTACAGAGTTTTTTAATGTTAAAAATATGATCAACATATCCTCCAAACAGTATCGCCTAAGAATGAATTCTTTGTCTAAAATGAAAAAACAAAAGAACAGTGCTCAAATTTTAAATTTTGATTAGAAAAAATATTTTTCAGTTGAATATTCATTTTAATTTGAAATAAGTAAATCCATAGTACCTTTTCCATTTATTTACACAACAAATAATTTCTTTTTCGAATTGAAATAACTCCATTATTTAGATGAATTTCTTTTTTCTGTTATAATATAAGAAAAGAAAAAGAAATATGAATCATAAGTGAGAATCTATTTTTCTTCCTTTCTTTTATTAGTCTACTGTGCATTTTATGCTTGTTATGTAAATATATAATCATGAAGCAGGTGAAGTAGAAATCATACTTACCTGCCACGGATGCATGAACGATCAATAACGTGAATGCTCCAAGTTGAGGCACGAACATTGCACATCGTTTGTGTTGACGCCTGCGAAAAGTTCACATTGAACTTTCTCGAGTGGAAAATTTATTACGTGGTCATTTGCGTTCGCGCATTGGCCATTTAAAAAAAAAAAGAAAAACAAAATAATATTTTTTTTGTTAATATTGTACAGAGAAGACTTGACAAATTTCTACTAAGAAAATTTAAAATATAACAGAGAAGAATCCTTCGAAAAAAAAACCAATTTTTATATGAATAAAGCTTCACATGATTACTGCCTAGGAACATGTTGTTTTTAATAAAATGTGTAAAAGAACGAAACATATCTATCTACGTCTATATTATTGAAAATTCATGTTCAAAAATTTCTAATAATATAACAAATCTTTTTTCTTTTCACACTTGAAAGTGCCCTATAGAAAACAGAACAAAATTGTTGGTCTTTGGGAATATCTGCGCTTAAAACATTGGAGATATAGTTGTCAAACATCTATGAATTGACATTTAAAATATTATTCATTTTAATGCTAATATTTTATTATTAATTAATAATTAGTACAAGTATTATACGAATATCTATTTCAGTTCATTACTGTATTTAAATGACTGAAAACTATAATGATAATAATAGCAACTTCTATTGATTTTAAAATTAAATGGATTTGATAAAGACAACAAAAATATTTTTCAGAATATTCTCAGTCTATTTTATTTAACAATCTTTTATCCTTCCTTTTTTTTTGTTTGAAATAATCTCGTTAAATTCTTTTTAAATCACAATATGATATAGAAATAAAGTTTTTTGCTCACATTATCACGTATCAATCTCAGCATGACATCTTTCATTTCATTCTTATTTTCCTAATGAAACAATTAACACTCAATGCATACTCTTTTGATCTGTTCATTCATAAAATCAATAAAAAAAAAAAATACAAATTCTTTCTTTTTATTAATAAATAAATACACTGTATATGTCAAAAAAAAGACTAGAATTGTAGAGAACGAATAATGTCTATTGATGATTGTTGTTAATTATTTAATGTCGAGTGTATAAATGGAAACACAAGTGTACTTAGATTAATAAATGTACTTGATAAATCCTGTTTAATATAAATGTAAGATTACAAAAATAAAAAGAATATTTTATATTTTATATTAAACGAACCATTATCCGATAAGTACAAGTATTATTATTAATTATTTGTTGAATAAAGAAAAAATGTTTAATTAAGTTTTCATTGATTAAATATATGGATAATTTAATCAAGAATAATTCTATCGAATAATAAATGATCCAATTAGTTGATTATTATTACAAATATATTCTGATAAACTTTCTTGATACCATGCAGCAGTTGATAATAAATCTTCATCACTAAAGTTAATCGAAAAAAAAAGAAAAATTTGTAATTTAAGATATACTCTTAACAGAAACAGATGTTTAGGAAAAACTATTCTTGTCAATAAAAAATTCACTAGTGCATCAATCAACCATCGCTAACAATGAAAATTCGATTATTGTTATTATTGAGGGTGTGAGTGTGGGTGGGTGTGTCCTTTCTCTTGAACATCGACACCCACACCCACCAACCAGACTCCACACCCGCACCCACCCATACCCACCACCCAGACCCCACATCCACACCCCACACTCTTCAAGATCTAATTTTTCATATGGAAAAAGTTTAAATTTAAGAGAAATAAATGGATTAATGAGGAATTGTTGAAAACGAGTATTGAGTTTAGAAAACGCTTTATAAATATGGCAACCATCAAGATATTCAAAGAGCTGTGCATAGAAAAGGCCAAAACAAAAAACATCGAAAAAAAATGTTGAAATAAAAAAGGTAGAAAAAAATGTTGAACGATGAAAATATCAAAAAAATTTGAGTATCAATGAAGAGAAAATTCACATTCATATTCACACTAGGATCCTGCAGGGTAAGGCTTTGCCGTATCCTATCCTCTTCCTAGTCTAAAAGTTTTACACTCGTACTTTACGCTTTCTACATCTGATCGGTCTAACCAAGACTAAAAAACATCAATCCTGGATCCATGGACTTTAATAGATTCTAATGGATATTTTCCAGGTAGATGATTTCGCCCTCCAGAAACGACCGGAATCGGTCGGAAAGATGAGGAAAAAATCACCCTTTCCAGTAGAAAAACTCCGGAAATCGATGAAATTGGAAGCAGTATTCCGGACCAGAAGATCGTTGGATTTTTTCGGTGACTACCGGTCGTTTCCCACTGGAAAGAACAAGGATTTAGTCAGAAGACACCGGAAAAGTCCGAAGATTTTTCAGTCCGGAATACTGCTTCCGTGAAATCTTCGGAATTTCATGGAACCGACCTTTTTCTTTCCGTATTGTTCACCTTGGTTGTTATCAAATGGAGCCAAGCAGATTCATCTGGCTCCATGGGCATCCACCTAGATCTCGAATCCATTTTTTCTTCTTCAAGGCTCACCGTGGGTGTGTGGGTGTGGATGTGGGTGGGTGTGGGTGTGGGGTGTGGGTGTGGGTGTGGGTGTAGAATGCTACAAAGTAGTGAACTTACAAGCACACCCATACCCACATCCACACCTGCATACCCACACATCCACACCCACACCCGCACCCACACCTACACCCACACCCACACCCACACCCACACTCATACCCATTCACACCCACACCCTCAGCTCCCCTTCGATTTAGTTCATTAACTTTATCTCAAAAAATTTTTTCTTTACAAATACCCCCGTCTAAATCGAAATTGTCTCGCTGTGCTTCATTTTTCATGTGCTTCGTTCTAGCCCGCTGTTTTTCAGTCCTTTTCAGTTTTTTTAAAGATGTTTTCGAATTTTATTGTAAATGAAAAACCAGCACCTCTTTCCTTTGTTTATATTTGTCAATGCACAGCCCTGATGAGTGTGTCAATAGTTTAATAAATAACATGAAACGCGTCGGCAAATCAACTCTGCATTTTTGTTAAAGAAAAATTTGAATTCAAGCATATTTATTAAACAGTTTATAGGTGATGCAGAAAATCGGTTGCTGAAAAGCAAGAATTGAAAGTAGCAGATTGATTTGTTTATGAAAGATATAGGTCGATCTGTTTGATATTGATTTATCAAGAACAGTTTTCTCGTTAAATATTCTTTTACGGTTATTTTTATTTGAGGCGCAGCGTGTGTAAGACATAAGATTGGCATCTTTTGATTCTGACACAAAACTCCTGAAAGTATAACTGTGACGGGAAAATATATATTATAAATGTTAAACACATTGGAATAAACGAAATGAAATATGCAACAAGATACAACGATGAATGGCGAGCTGATTTCATACAACCAGATAAAAACGATATCATAAGGCGTGGTGTCGCTATTATGGCCAGAATTATAGGACTGATAATGAGGTGTTTGTGATGAGCGAGTTGATGGCGTAAGTGTTGTCTGTATGTTTTCTGTTGCTGAGCTGCCGAGCGTTGTCTAGCAGCAACGACAATAATGACTGCGGCCGACACTAAATTGATCGAGAACGGAGCAGTAAAATGAAAAATATTTATAGCTGAATTATAGATATGGAATAAAGAAGAATATTCAGCTGTACACCATGTTCGTTCTTCTTCGGAGTCACGAATAAGTTTTCGATGTATTGGATCATGCAGAACGGTAATAATGTTAGCAATTACGATACCAGCGATAATTAATCGTGCAAGTTTTCGACTTTTTGACTTATTGAAGTTAGCGCCCCTTATTACTATGAGTCCTCTCTCAATAGAAACAATTGCATTGAGCCAATCTCCAATTCCAGAACACACACGAAGAGTAAAATCGACTAAAATACAATTGATTCGTAAAACACGAACATTTTCTACTAGAGACATTTGTGAAACGACCAAAATCCAAAATTTGAATGCGAAAATTATTGCTGTAAAAAATGAAACAATCGATGAAGTTAAAAGATAGTGACCACAGCCGATTTCAAGAAAGTTTTCATTTCGGAACGTCATCATCGATATAATGCTATTCGTAACACCTAGCAGTAGCATGGACATAGTGAATGCGATACTGGTCTTGACAATGAATAACTGTTGCCCTATACGAAGACGTGGTCGAATTTGATATCCTAAAATAGCATTGAGCGACAGATCAAAGTTTTTTGTAGTGAATTGACATTTGCTTCCATAGAAACAATCTGGGCATATGCACATTGCCGAATGTGGACAGCTTTCACGGTCGGTGAAACATCGGGCTTCATTTTGACAATCAGCAAGCCTCTGACAATCATGGGTCTTATTAAACTTGAATGGAAAACAATTTGCATATTTTTCTCGTCTGCACAAACACATGAATACCTCATTATCATGAAAACATGGCAATTCAAGATGTTTTCGACAGTACAAATGGTAGTATTTGACCCGACGTAAGAACGGATAAGTAGCCATTTTATCATCCGCATATAACTCTCCGACATTCGAACAGCGTGTCAATGGTGTGATTTGAATTGCGATGAAAGGTGAAGGCGTATAATTTGCATTCACATATGTCAGAAAGTATTCCTTATCAATTTGAATAATAATTATATGAAATATTATCGATACATATAGTACAGTAACGTCTCGATCGAATGGAATCTTCGTAAATATTGTTTGGTGTGTAGGATCTGCTTTATTCTGCACAGTAATAAAATGAACCAGAACTGATTGAGGGATTTCCATCTGACGAAATGAAACTTCTATTTTCGACGCTGGCTCTTCACAAGTCGCTCCCGAAAACCTATCTGAACACAAACATTGGAAGGTGTTGTGGGACACTCGTTCGTCATTGGAAATACATGCTGCACCATTTTTACAATGTTCAATATGACAAATGGATTGAAGGCGGCATTGTGATCCATATTTTTTAAGTGAACAAAGACAAATAGATCGATTGTTAACATTACCGATACATTTAGAATCTTTTGAACAATCGCAATAGTGAGGAATTGTACAGTTCACACCAGACCAACCCGAGTTACAAAAACAGAAAAAATTGTTTTTACTGTTTGAAAACGAAAAACTCCGACCATGACCGCAGAAAATCGAACATGCACTGTTGGCGCTAACTGACTCGGCACCAATGATTAAATGAGCAGCTACTCTATTCACTGGAAGGAATTGAAAAGGAATTTGTAGAATCCAACTAGAATAATAAGTTAAATCGAGTCTGTTATAAGCGTCAATGTGTATATTATAATTGTGAGACAAGTCTTTGGGTCTTAATCTATAAAGAAGATATATATTAAATTTTTTTTCACATTGAACTGTTGGAATGTAAGTAAATATTTCGTACGAATGTATGGTTTTGTCCTCATCAATAAGGGTAGCCACAATAGCGAACACTCCACGGCATTCTGGGGCACATATTCTAGAAAACTGAAGTGTTAAACTAACTCTCTGGCTTTGAAATTGACATCGATCCCCGAAATAGCTAGGTGGGCACAGACAATGCTCTTTCATTTGATTTCCTACGAAAATGAGTATGCCTCGGTTACAAAACCAAAGTCGATGAAAAGAAATCAACCCAAGTAGATTCTCATCATTTTGTGTCATGATCGCTTGCTGTGTGGGATGAGGTTTTTCAAAATATGAAGCCGGAGTAGATGTTGATACCATATAACTTTTCGTAACTGTCCTCATCAAAGTCGTTGACGGTAATATCATATTAAAGCGTTCAAGTAGAAAATATGCATTTTCAGGATTTTCAAGTCCCTTGTCTTTTGATAGACGTTGCAGAACCATCTCAACATCTTTTTCGCAATCAAAAAGGTTTTCAAAGGGGCATGCACGATACCAACAAACATCCCCATTAGTGACACAAAGATCCGTTTGCCAACACCGATACCGAGATCGAGCGTTCGTTGGATTACTGTTTCGGCAAAATGTTCGCTCGTCCGTTGATCCAAGGCAGTCTATAATACCATCACCAGATTGATTTACAGGTAGACAAATGATTTTTCCTGTTTCGGGCGATATACATTCATGGCTATCTGATGCACACTTTGTCGCTATACAATTCAACTCGTCAGCTCCATTTGGACAATTCCAAGCGCCGTCACACCGAGTGTACAAATTATTACATTCCCATTCATCACAATGCGTCTCATCTGTTTCATTAAATCCATCTACAAGTATTGGTGAAAGATGAACATACCCGTTACAAAGCTTCTGAAAGGTGACTTGCTCTAAAAGATTCGAGAGTTCATCTTCACCACCAAGACAGTCTTTTATTGAATCATGAAGTAAATTATTTGAGATGCATTTATTTTCTGACAAACATTTAAAACGATATTTATTATCCCATTGGCATGCGTTAGCAAATTTTTCGTCTATGCCTCCATAACAATCAATAACGCCATCTAAAACTCTATGTCCAGAAATACGTTTAGTCGTACCCGGGCATTGAAATAGAGATGCTCGCGTAATATTAATATCATTTTCATCATCTACGATTGTTAGACAAGTTTGGAAAAGCTGGATGATATCACTCATTTGTTTTACATGTAAGTCGTGTATTGATTGACAAGTTTTGTTTGTTATGTTCAAAATTGAAGTATTTTGGAGAAAAGGGCATCGTTTTATATCATAACAGACATAATCCGGGAACAATGATACTTCAGCTGTTGCAAAATTAATTGTTGTTTTAGTAGAGTATACGAATAGTACGTGACCTTGTAGAATAGGTCGTCGTGGAAAAACCACATATTGTGTGTGACAAATCTCCCAAATATTAATCGTACAACCTAACCAGTCATCTTCATCACATAATGTATCACATTCTGCATTCCCAATACCAGTAGTTGCGCAATACAGAAGAAGCCAACAATCGTATGATAGATTGGAGTGCTCAACTTGTGATAACAAGGCAGTCTCAACAGCTACATCCTGACCATTCATGCATGATACCCATGATGGAGAATCATTTATGTCTGGAAAACGTAAGTAAGTTTTTTGTCCATCACCACATACAAATGAACGAGATCGCATTGGGTGATCTGATTCTTCACAACGAAAGGCTGGATCTCGATAGCACATAGAGAATCTTTCAATTTTTAATGCTGATGCTTCAAAAAAATATTCATCTGTACTATCAGGACAATCAGGATTGTACGGATCATCATTCCAGAAATATTCTGGTATGCAGACGCCATTATGACAGCGATATTCATTTTGCTCGCAATCATTAATTTCGAGTGCTAGACAATTCGCTTCATCCAGACCATCTCCCGCACAATCTACTTTTCCGTCGCAAATTTCGCGCCAATCTAGGCACGTCGGCGTTGGTCCACGGTCACATAACAAATGTGTATAACATGAGAGACTTGTAGATTGAAATGCATCAGGGTTCCATTCATAAGGATTGATAGTTTTTTTATCAAATGTGTGCTTGACTATGGTAGAAAATGACGCATCTAAACCAAACGTGTACTGGCACAACGATCCAAACCATAGTGGAGTACAGTTATAGAAAGTTGGAAATTTCTTTTGACTAGTTGCTGGAAAGTCAAGATACTCACGATACAGTTCGGTCAAATCAATAGTAGCTGACCACGACAGCAACTCTTGCACACTCGCACCTGCTGTTTTTAACTGTTCAAAATTCATCTTGAACAACGCATTTCCTTCTATCCATTGCTGATTTTCTTTTATTTCAAATGATGGGCGTATACAATATGGAATAATCTGGTGCGGACTCTTGAAATTAGATGAAATGGAATGGGCTATCAATATGTCATCCATTACTCTATAATATAAACAGTCGTAGTGCAGTGCATCATCACCTATCTGTTTAGAATCGTATAGATTAAATTGTGCTTGCGTGTTGCACCACAATAATAATGCAATCCACACTATCCCATTTGCAGTTTTCATTACACCCACCATGTCTCATTATAGAGAATGTTTTTCAACTTTACTGTGTTACCGTATACTACTTTTTTTACGACGGCACTGTCTATATAAGGAAAAAAAGTGACAGTGTGTCACATATATTCTTCCTGTTGAGTGACAACATTTTGTGTGCACAACGACTAGAGCGAACAAATGATGTGAACATTCTCACGTTTGGATAGTCGATGTCATAATGAAAGCAATATCGAGATAGATGATTAACTTGAGCTAGTCATCATTCACCGAAGTCATGCCTGTATAAGTTGGCAAGGTAAAACAAAAATATCACAAACGAGCATCAGATCCTTTAACGTCAGCTAGACATCGGATGTGAAAAAAGAAACATGATATTAATGAAGGGTTTGGGTGGGTCGGCGTGGGGGATGGATGTGGGTGCCCAGGTCGAGCATTACGGTGACCAGAAACGGTCGTATACGGCCGTTTACGGGTGTGGGTTTGTGGGTGTGGGGTGTGGGTGTAGGCGTGGATGTGGGTGTGGGTGGGTGTGAATGTGGGTGTGTGGGTGTGGGTGGGTGTGGGTTGTGGGTGTGGGTGTGTGGGGTGTGAGTGTGGGTGTGGGTGTGGGTATGGGTGTCGATCTTCTGCCAATTAACACACCCACACCCACACCCACCCGACTGTTTTCTTTCCGTATTGTTCACCTGGGTTGTTATCAAATGGAGCCAAGCAGATTCATCTGGCTCCATGGGCATCCACCTAGATCTCGAATCCATTTTTTCTTCTTCAAGGCTCACCCTACCTTACTCTATGACTCGCTGCTTAAACTTTACTTTGAGAACATCGATTTTGAGATCGTGAAAATTTATGTGCGCATTTAAATAAAAAAGAATGGTGAGAACTGGTGATCAAGTTAAAGCTGAACAAGAAATAGCCAAAAGTGATAACACAGGATACATTATTGGTCTTTATCTTCATTATATAGAACAAGTATCATCATTTGCTTATAGTAATCATTAAAAACCGCATTTTAGTTAGTAAAAATAATATTATTTTCTATACATACAGTTGGTAATACTGTTTTTTTTGCTCGATATCATGTTGTTATTTGCATAGGTGACATGAATAGAAAGCCTATTCTTTGGAAAATATTTAACCAAAATTACCGTAATTTTATTAGATTTTCTTTGTCAATTCAATTTATATATAGTTATGTTGTAGGCAAAAAATAGTTAGACTCTGTATTTCGAATATATTTCCATCATAAGATCATACTTTTTTTAAACGTAATTACATATTCTGAAAGTCCGTGGAGTTTTCTATCACCCTGTATAATTAGGTTTTAGCTTCAACCTATTCATTACCAAAATAAATTGAGGACAATAAAGGCACCCTCATGTCCAGATTCCCATATACTTGATTTTGTCACTGTCATCAAAATTAGTTTTTAAATTTTTCATCACTATAAAATCATCTTTTGAGAAACTCTAGAAAGAAGTAGCTTTTTTATTATCTCTATTATCTTTTGCTTCAAAGGTTCACGATGATAGAGAATTTCAAGCTCTATTAGAATATACAATTGCTTGTTCAAAAAGTTATTCTTTTACTAATAATAACGTTGGAATAAAAGGGGAAAGTGTTACTGAAAAGATTTAGTTTTTTAGATTTTCTTGAGGAGATTACTGACGTAATACTTGAATTATTCTTCAGCGCATTCAGCACATAAATACAAGGCAAAACAAATGTACATAGGATAATAGAGAATTTCAAGCTCTATCAGAATATAGAATTACTTTTCTCAAAAGATGATTTTATAGTGATGAAAAATTTTAAAAACTAATTTTGACGACAGTGACAAAATCAAGTTTATGGGAACCTGGACATGAGAGTGCCAAGGGCTTTCAGAATATACAATTACTTTTAAAAAAAGTATGGTCTTATGATGAAAGCATATTCGAAATACAGAGTCTAACTATTTTTTGCCGGGAGGGGGGATATATTCATTACAGTGAAAATCATAAAATCAATAAAATATTATTATCATATAAGTCTTTATTTTCAAATTCGCATTCCAAAAATACTCTAAATATTCTCATAATTCTATCTACCACTATACCCAAGGTCGTTGCTATGTCAACGTTCATTATTTAATAATTGACTGAGAGAACAAAACACGTCCGATATTCGTATACCATTGACAATGAAAGGTTATGTATATCATGACCCTTGTATAAACAGCATTTTACTCCATGAACCGAATAATAACAGACAAAATGGATCGATTGCCGTGCGAATTATTACAACACATCCTTCAGTACATTGATCAACCGTTAGATCTTTCGCGAATGTTTTCTGCCTGTAATCGTTGGCAGTGTTTGATTATGAATGATGAATATTTTCTCAATCAATGGTTTTCTCGATCATTGAAACGCTCGCTAGAATCATCTCATTATACCTGCTTTCGTAACCCGACCAATTGGAAACAAGAAGCGATATTAGATATGGATAAATCATTCTTTCCTATCAATCTTCAATCAAGTAAATGTTACTTTCTACCTATGAGTGTTTCAAGGCATTCATTTTATAATGAATATCCATTTAAACATTATTATTCTTCATCACTCTTTAACTCATCTCATTCTATCTCCTTCTGGCTCTTCTTACCTAGTCAATGTGAATTAAATATGCAAATTAGAAGTTTTAATGTCAAGAGCCTAGTTATCGTACTCTGTGGTAACAAAAAATATCATTTCGATAATAGAAAATACGTATCGATTGCTGATCGATGGATTTATATTGTTTTGACTAAAATTGGTTTATGGTCAAATTATCAAATATGTATCGATGGACAATATGTTTCAAAAGTCAAACAATATTCTAAATTCTTCAATAATATGGATGAGACAGACTCTTGGATTAATATTGCAATATTATACAAATTTCACAGTAGTCCAATAGGACCACCTAACCAAGTTCGTTTCGCCGATCTCAATACTTTTAAACGGTGTTTGACACTTGCAGAAATTCGAGCTATTCATCAACAACAAACATTAATCGAACAAACAAAAGTCGGTACTTATATTAATAGCAACAAAAAATACACAATATGAAAGTCAACTATCATTAAAAGTCTAACTTTTCCTCAGTATAAATTCATTCTGTTGTTTTTTGTTTCTTGTATTTCTCATATTTCTGATTCATTATTTTGTATCTTACTGTTTAAAAATAAATAGCTTCATAGTTCATTTGAAAGAGAAATGAGGAATATCACGTCTTCCTCCTAAAGTATTTGACAAACTTATTAAATACTGTACGAAATAGTAATTCGACCATTATTGAACACAAATGGCAAGAAATCATGTAAAAAAATCTAGCTATTCAAATGAATTGAAAAGATAATTTATGCAAATACAATTGAAATTTCATACAAAAATTAAACAGAATACCATATCCTACAAAAAAAACTACATAATGAAAATTCAATCTGATCAAGATCTATACCAAAGATGGTTGAGTATTATTTTATCCATAATACTCAAATGAAGGATTTCAAAGAATTTGAATTACTATCACCTTATAGACTGCTGAGTACATGCCTAATTTGAGTTCGAATATCAATAAAAATCATGAAAACATGTCTTGGAGATAAAAAGACAAAAAATAGAAAAAGAATTATTTCAATTATAAATCATAATTGATATAGAACTTTCTTATAACCGCGACAAAATAGCAAAAAAAAAATATTTAAATTTTAAATTATAATTCATCTAACACTTTCCTACGGCCATCTCACTTTCAATATTGCTTTTATGTCCTCTGTAGACTTCTTGCCCTTGCTCTCAGTCACCTGCAAAGAGGAAAAAACCAGATTCCATCTACTTCAAAAAAACTTTGAAGTAAGATTAAAGTAGGATGAAGTACAAGTGAAATAGGCACTATTTGAAGTCTTGCTTTTCCGCCGTGTAGAAATTCGATCGAGAAATTTGAGTTCCTTGATTTCAAATAATTTGTGAACATTAACCGATACAAGATCGACAAAAATTTCATTCATTATCGGTTACAAGACTTATTTATCAATGGAGTGTTTGAGTATTTTTGAGAAAAGAAATGATCAATTGTTAATTGCAACTATTCCAATGATAGGATCTATTGACAGTTATATGCGGATTTAAATAAAAAATGATGAG